ATGACCTGCATATAAGAACTAAAACCATAAAATTTCCAGAAGAAAACATAGGGGCAAATCTTTAAGACTTTGGATTTGGCAATGGATTCTTAGAGATGACACCGAAAGCACAAGCAACAAAAGAGAAAGTAGATATAATTTTTGTGCATCAAAGGACATTTTCAAGAAAGTGAAAATACAACCTACAGAATGGGATAAAATATTTGCTGATAAGGCTTTAATATCCAGGCTCTATAATGAACCCCTACAACTCAACCAAAAAAAAAAAAAAGATAAACAACACAATTAAAAATGGATGAAGGAATTGAATAGATACTTCTCCAAAGAAGGTACACAAATGACCAAAACATACATGTAAAGATGCTCAACATAATTACGTGGTCATTAGGCAAATGCAAACCCACTCACCAGGATGGCTGTAGTTTCAAAAAAAGACGAAAAATAACAAGTGCTGATGGGAATGTGGAGAAATTGGAGCCCTCATCCTCTGGTAGTGGGAACGTACAATGGTGCAGCCCTTGTGGAAAACAGTTTGGCAGTTCCTCAAAAAGTTAAATGTAGAATACTGTATGATCTAGCAATTTCACTTCTAGGTATATACCCAAAAGATTTGAAAACAAGAACTCAAACAGATACTTAGATGTAAATTTTCTTTGAAGAATTATTCAAAATAGTCAAAAGATGGAAATAACCAAAGTGTCCATTCATGGACGGATGAATAAACAGAACGTGGCCTACACATGCAATGGGATGTCATTCAGACCTGAAATGAATGAAGTGCTGATACACGCTGCCACATGGGTACACCTTGAAAACATGTTAAGCGAAAGAAACCAGACACAAAAGGACAAATATTGTAAGATCCCGTTCATGTGAGGTATCTAGACTAGGCAAATCCATAGAGACAACAGAACGCAGAATAGAGGTTACCAGGGGCAAGGGACAGGGAGTGACCCTTTGACAGATACAGAGTTTCTATTTGGGGCGATGAAAATATTTGGAAATAGGGGCAATGGTTGCACAACAATTGTGAATGTAATTAATGCCACTGAAATGTGCACTTAAGGTGATCGAAATGTTATGGTATATATTTTACCACAATTTAAAAAAACAAAAAGCAAACCGCTCACCTATCCCCACCCAAACCTGCTCCTTGTAGACTCTTCCTTCTTCCAGCTGCTCAATCCAAAAACCTCGGAGCCATCCTCACTGCTTCTCCTGCCCGCAGCCCCACATTCAACGAGCGGGCAGCTCCTGTGGGCTTTACTTGCAAAACAGACCCAGGGGCTGGGTTCCCATCTCCCCTCCCCATCACCAGCACCTACGCCTGGCTCTGCAAGAGCCCCTGAGCGGGCTTCTGTCCCCGCCCCTTCGGTCTGTTCTCTCTGGGGCAGCCACAGGGATCCTGTCCAAACCCAAGTCTGCTCAGGCCCCTCCCATGATCCCAACCTTCTGTCAGGGAGGGGGGTCACTGAGCCCAAGCGGTTAGAGTGGCCTGGAGGCCCACCATGAAGCAGGCTCAAATCTCCTGGATTCCCTCCCGCTCCCTCCCTCCCTCTCTCTGCCCTCCCTGCCTATCTCCTGGCTGGTCCTTGAACCCAGCAGGCAAGCTGTGGAATCTCCAGGTGCTGGGCTTTTGCACTGGCTGTTCCCTCTGCCTGGAATGCTCTTCCCTCACCTTGTTCAGGTGTGTTCCCATGGCACCTCTCAATGGCGCTTCCTATTTACAATGGTCACAACCACCCTTGCAAGCCACAACCCCCTTTCCTGCCCTGCTTTCCTTTCATGGGGCACAGCACCAGCCAACGCATTAGAAATGTACTTATTCTATGTGGTCAAGAACGTTTTGTGGAGGCCAAGACTTGGTCTGCTCTGTCCCTCGCTGAGTGGCGGCACTGAGGACACAGCGTCAGCACAGAGAAGGTGCCTGATGACGCTGTTGAATGGGTGCACGAAAGTTTCACGGGGGACAGCACTGCCCATCCCCCCACCCCCATGGGTGAGATAGCACCAGGAGTGAATGCACAGCCTGCCCACCTGGGGTTCAAATCCTGCCTCTGCCACTGATCTGCTGTAGGGTCTTGAGTCATCACTCTGTGCCTCGGTTTCCTCATGTGTATATGAGGGGAACAACAGGACCCATCTCATAGAGTGAGGATTGCAAGTGATGGCTCAGGTACCAGGGCTTTGTCTACGGCCATATCACCCTGAACGTGCCCAACTCGTCTGATCTTGGAAGCTAAGCAGGGTCAGGCCTGGTTAGTGCTTGGATGGGAGGTACCAGGGCTTCCACAGGTGCCTGGCACACAGCGAACTGCCCAACAAGCATTAGCTAACTTCATCCTCCCTGCTTCCCTTCCTTCATTCCCTCTTTCCTTCTCCTCTCCCTCCCTTCCTTCCTTCCTTCCTTCCTTCCTTCCTTCCTTCCTTCCTTCCTTCCTTCCTTTCTTCTTTCCTCATTCCCTTCCTCCCTCCCTGTGCCCAGGGTGCTGTCAGTGAAGAAAGGAACATGGGCTGGTTTCCAAGAGGGGAGGATGTCCCAGCTGGGCTTAGAGAGACGAGCAGAAGTGAGCTGGGCAGACGTGCTCCAGTGGAGAGATGCCGCAGACCTCACTCCAACTCTACCTGCCCTTGTGGGAGGTGCAGGCCAGGAGCTTATGGATAAATAGCTTATTAAAAAATAACTATGGAGCTGCTCAAGAAGGCAGAATGGGAGATGGCATCTGTAACGATTGACTGTTCCCTGGGACGGTGGGCTCAGGGCTTGCGGGGGAGTGAGGACAAGCAGGTCTTAGAATAAGTTGCAGAACATTGGGTTTAACTTCACATCTGGGTTGTATAGACTGAAGCTCATAGTGAAGACGATGACAATGGTGACAGTACTCACCCATGCACAGAACAGAGCCAGGCACCTTGGAAAGGCTATAGATTCATGTCATCTTCACAACGACCCTCTGGGCTTTACAGATAAGGCACAGAGTGGTTAGGCAAGTTGGCCAAGGTCACAGGGCTGCAGGCAGCGAAGCCGGGATTCAGACCTGGGGGGCCACTGCACAGCAAGTGCCTCCCTTCTCAGGGCCGTGGTGCCAGTGTCAGGACAAGGGGTGGGGGAAGGGTTCAGACCTCTTTCTGTCTCCAACTCTATAGCTTTTTTGTTTCCTATTTGCTGGCAAATGCCAATGACAACTTTTGGGTCTTAATGACATCAAAAGAGCTAGAGTGATGTGACGCTCTAAGGGCTTGCCAAGCCATCTTTTGCATGCCTTGATGCACGTGGTGGCAAAAAGAGAAATTGAGGCTGGGGCCAATCCTAGAGTCTCCCTCCTGACCCCGCTGATATCCAGAGCAAGACCCCGCCCACCACACAGCCAGGAAGCGGGTGATCAGAGCAGAGGGGCCTGCCCGGCAGGGGTGGAGGCCGGGTGGTCATCTGTCTGACACGACCACTCAGATGGGATCACTTAGATCCTCCATGAAGGAAAGTACCAGAACGTCATGTCTGAGACACGGCCCATGCCCCGGTCTAACGACTGCAAAGACCAACACACAGGCCCCCATAGTGCAATCTCCGGCATAGGGAAGTTTCCTTGAGCCTCAGTTGTGTCGCTCACTGACTCTCCCTGGGGTCGGGGCTGGAAAGGGAGAGGCAGCAACCTCACAGGAGCTGGACTCGGACATCCTGGGCTCCAGTCTTGTAACCACCAGTAACCACCAGTTACTCACGGTGTGGCCTTGATTTCTTTATCTGTGCAATGGGGGTGATTATGCACCCCCCGGGCAGGGTTGTACTGAGGATAGGCGTGGAAAGCACTTAAATCATTGCGCAGAGCTTGGTCAGAAGTTCATAGACGGTGAGTTTGGGGCTCGTGTTTCCAGCTGATGACAGAGCGGGTCATTTCTACATGTGAGGTTGAGGAGGCCATTCAGGATGGCCTGGCCACACCACATCAGGCCACGATGCTGACCTCTCTTGGGCCCAGGTCTGGCCACCCTCCCACCCCCCCTCATGTTTGGCAGGGCCCCTGTCTCTTCTCCTCAGCCTTTAATTTGACGAGCACGCAATGTCACTTCTAGAAAGAAGCCAAATCAGGCTGTTTAAAAGGCACATGTCAGAATAAGCTCCTCCATGGGAATCCAAAAAGAAGAGAGGGGAGGAAGGGAGGGAGAAGATAGAAAAGAGGCTCCGGAGCTATAGTTAGCAGCCCTGGGCTGGCGGTGGCATTCTGATTGCAGGGCGGGCATGCTAAGCAGGGCGCTCCAGTGAGGCACAACTGCGCTGTGCAATTAAGTCAAACCAACCGCGCGCTGTCGACCCCTGTCCCGACCCTACTCCGAGGTTTATTTAATAACCTGTGAACTGGGAGGGAAAAAGTCATCCAGGAAACATTGCTTGGGTCATTTATTTTGAAATTATTGGTATAAAAATATCCCGGATCGTGATTTATGCGCAGGGAGCGGCCGAGGAAGTCAGGGACTCCCCTCCCCGACTCCCGTCCAAGCCTCATTTGTCTCCCGGCTCGGTAAGTTCCTCCACAGTTTCTATTATGATTTCAAGTCATAGTAGTTACTTTATATCGCAAATAAATCTCCAGAATAGCTCGGAAATATTATGTGTATTAATAGCGCCTGTAAAAACATCCGAAAACCTCGCATCCGCTGGATCACGCTCCCCCGGGATTCGGAACAGCCCGGCCGGCCCTGCAGATGCCGCCTGGGGCCGCGCAGGGGCCCCTCGCCGGCCGCCCCCAGCCCCCGCCCAGCCCAGCGCTCTGCCTGCCATCTGTCTGTCTGTCGGTGCCCCCAGCGACCTGCCACCTACGGACAAAGGCCCTCCCCTCTCCCCTTCACCCCGGAGAAGTGCGGGGACGTCCCGACACCAGAGACGACAGGGGTCCCTGTCTCCTGCTCCTCCTGCGCCCTAGTTCTCAGGACACCGTCGTCCCTGGGCGTCCCAGACGCAGCTGCAGCCGCGCTCACTGTCCCACGCCCTGGATACTCACGGGCTGCGGGGGCTTCCTTGGGGGACAGCCCCTCCAGGCCGATGTCGCCCTCCTGCATGGCGCAGCTCCCTGCCCGGGTCTGGTGCGTCCCGGACGCACGGGGTTCAAGAGCCCGAGTGACGAAGTCACCTCTCGAGGTCTGCAGCAGCTCCGAGGGCCAGGGTCCGAGCCCAGCTCGAGAGGGGACAGTCCCCCTCCTCCCCAGAGGCAGGACGCAAAGCCGCACGCGCCGGAGCCAAACTTGGCTGCCCTCGTGCACAGCCGCGCCGCTCCTCCCCCTCGGCTTTTTGGTCTAGGGGTCCTGGCGACCTCCCCGCCCCCCGGGGGTTACCTGCGGACACCACCCTCGCCCCGCCCCGCGCGCCTCCCCTGCGGCCACCGGGACGCCGCTGAGCGAGCCAGCGAGCAAGCAAGCGAGCAAGCGAGCGGGACGCCAGGACAAGCAGCCTGTGCGCTGGGCCCGCGGGTCCTGGCCCTCCCCTGGCCTCCCGCGGCGCGGGGTGCGTTTCCACGGCTGCCAGACCGTCTTATCAGTACCGGCGGGCAGTGGGGCCCTGAGCGGCCCTGAGAGGCGCGCCCCCAGCCAGGGCCCCAGGAAGGGGGTTGACTAAGGGGGGCCCTGGGCTTGGACGCAGCCGTAAGAGATGGGGTGCAGCCTTGGGCACGGGGCAGTTCCGGGGGGTGGCCCTGGTTCCAGCATCTGTAGAGTGTCCTGGCCCCCGCCCTCAGGTGGCAAGACCCTAATTAATTATTGTCAATTTGTCATATGAGGGGGCTGAAGCCAGGCAGGGGTGGCAAGGAGCTGGAGGTTATAGGGCGGTGCAGGGCCTGACCTGTTACCCCACCCCCATCCCCCAGCCTATGCAGAATTTAGGAATCTGGATAAAGTGAGAACTGCCCCAAAGTAGAAGCAAAGTCCTTTTATTTCAAGATTCCAGCTACCTGAACTTGGCCAGGGGGCAGCCAGGGTCCCAGGTGGGGACTGTCACCCACATCCCTTGCCATTCCTCCTCACCACCTCAGGCCACATCCCTGCAGCCGGGCTCAGGGCAGGGGGCCAGGAGGACCCCTCTCCAGCCCTGCCGTGTTTAGAAACTGAGGTCTGGACAATTCAGTATCCTCCCAGACAGCAGCGATGTGGGCACCGGGGAGGGCGCGGAGAATGGCGGTGACGGCGCCTCCTTGTGTATCTACCAACTCACACCCATGACATCTCCAGATAAATACAATAAATTCTGAGGCAGAACCACGGTAAACAAAACATTAAGCCGCTCCCTGCCCACAGGAGGGGTGGGGCGGACAGGGCCAGGGTCTGAACTTTTGAAAGGTCATCTTACAATTTCTGCACCCCAAGGGAGGAGCTAGCTGGTGCCGAGGGAGGACCCAAGGACCACCTGCCAAGGGAACACCCACAAGGTGTCCAGCTTAGGCTGGACCCTGGGGAAGACAGACCCAGCCATGCCACGGGGGACAGACCACATCCACATGGATGCAGAAGGGACGCTGGACGGAATGTGAGCGTCCTCCCTGATCCCCGCCAGGCCTGCTGGGATTGGTACCCACGGCTGCTGCCCCGGGTGGAAGATGCTGGTAGCAGCAAAACCACTAAGAGATGTTTCCTGCCCGGTTCGTCTTCCCTGCCCCCATCCGAGTGCTGTACTCTGTGTATGAAGGGGGAGTGAAGGCTCCTTCCTCACAATGAGTCAGCCCTGCCCTTCTCCTTCATCATTATTTCATTTCAGTCTGGACTAAGAAACTGGGAGCCGAGGCACCTGGTGGGATTTCTTATTCGCTGTGGACAGAAGGCGCCCCATGACGAGCTTGCCAAGAAGCCCGAGGCATGTGCTACGTACCCCAGATGCGTGCCCCAGGAGGGGGGAGTGGGTTGGATGGGAATTGGGTGCTGTCATGGGCCCTTGGGGAGGCCACACTCATTTCACAGAGTGTTTCCATCTGACCATTGTTGTCAAGATAAAAACCCATTTTTCTTGGAAGGGTCTGATCGCCAACATGATACATAGCAATTGCTCAGTTATGTAAATACACAGGGAAAATTTTGGAATTCTTACCCCTGGAATGATGAACTATAAGCCAAAAAGGCTCAGGGAAAAAAAAAATGTAAATACCTACTGAGACTATTTTTAACTGTCATTGTTTACCTTTTTGGGACAGGGATAGGCTATTGTATATTTAGCCAGCTTTAAAATGCACATTATTTAATGCATTATTATTAGCAGAAATATGTAAAACAGCCATTAATAGATGTTGATGCATTCCGATTGAAGCCATTTTTTCTTCTTTTCATTTTCTTGGCTCCAATTACGTTGCATTCAGATGAAACCCTTTGGCTATGTCCAACATATGCAAAAATGCTGGTTCCCCAGACCCAGACGTTCAAAAACGTATTTTAATAAATACCTGAACCAGCTCATAAAAAGATTGGTCTCGGCTGCTATTTTGGTAAATGTTGTCACGGGAGAGCGATGCCAGGCTGGGGAAAGGCTGGGTTGCCCATGTGGCCCAGATGGGGACAGGGTGGCCTGGAAGAGGAGTACCTGGAGTCTCCCTGCCCATTTCTGGGGAGCGCCATGCTGCAGCCCCTCTGAAGCTGAAGACCTCCCCACACCCTGCGCATGCCAGGGAGATATTTATGTTAAGCAGAGCAGGGCAAGTGGCCTGGTTCGGGGAGGTGGCATGCCTGTCATTACAACACACAGCCATCATTATGGAGTAGAGCGGAATACAGTAATCACGGCGCACAATGCTTGTAATTATGGAAAATGGTTTCCCTTTTCGGTGAGGCGGCGAGGGAGGGAGAGAAGGCAGCTCTTGGTGAGGCTGGGGCCGGCGCTCACCCCCTGGGCTTGGCCCAGGTTTAAAATAGGCTTTGCAGGGTGAGGCCCTGGCCCTGCTGAGATAGGCTCAGCCCTGCCCGAAGCCCCGGCCTTGTCGGACACCGGGGCCTCGTGGCGACTCTGAGCTTGCGGTCGACTCACCAACACCAGCAGCGGCACCCAGGTCTCCCCGGCTCCCAAATGTTGCTCAGCCTCCGCAGATGTCAGAGGCCAGAGTTCATCGATGACAGTCACATCACCTGTGGCCACATCCCTCTTCATCTGCTCAGGAGACACCCAGATTGTCACATACATCCCACCCCCACTGTCACTGGTCATCAGAACACAAACAGGGTCACGGGTCGCTTAAACGCCGATTTCTCATGGCCTGGGGAAGCCTGTTTCCAGTTCCACTTGGCTCTTAGAGCACCTGCTGTGGGCGGGGCCCTCACTCAGGTTGGCGGGGGGATGGGAGGTGCAAGGGTGAGCAAGGCAGAGCCCCAGCCCTCCAGGGCTAGCCCCCCACCCGAAGGAGGTAAGCAAGGTGAGGTGGAAGTTGAATTGAGCCCAGGGCCTCAGCAGTTGAACAGAGAGGGTCCCCGATCCTGTCTTGGGCAAGTTATTGCTCAGCACCTTGGTTTGCACATCTGTAAAATGGGCCTTGGCAAAGCTGTTGGTTGGCATTCCATGGAGCTAGAACAAGAATCCAACTTCCAGCCCAGAACCTGGTGCGTCATAAGGATTAGGGGGCATCGTTGTCTGTATCATCCTCAGCTCAGTCAGACAGGCGGCGTGGCAGGAGACTGACATGCCGGCAGAGGCCAACCCCTCAGGAGCAGATTGGAGCTGGCAATGTCCCCTGACCTGGGACAGAGAGTGGGTGAGTTTTCCAGGTAGAGGCTGGCTGTAGGGGGTTCTGGCAGAGGCTGGGTGGAGACACAGAGGTGGGGACGAAGGTCCCCGGGCAGGGGTGGGAGCATGGTGGGGGTTGGGTAGGGATGGGGGCCCCAGGCGGCTGCACTGAGCAGGGCTGGGTGTCTTTTTTTTTAATCTAAAAAATTATTGAGGTGAGATTTACATAATATAAAATGAACCATTTTAAAATGCGCGACTTAGTGGCATTTCGTACCTTCACAATGTTGAGCAACCGTATTTCTATCTAGTTCCAGAACATTCCATCATTCCAGAGTAAAAGCCCTAACCGATTGGCAACCACACCCCATCTCCTACCCTCCCCCCAGTCCCTGGCAACCACCAATCCTCTTTCTGTCCCTATGGATTTGTCTGTCGTGGATATTTCGCATAAATGGAATCATACATTAGATGGTCTCTGTGTCTGGCTTCTTCCAGTGTGTGAGGTTCGTCCACACGATGGCTCGTATCAGAACTTCACTTGTTCTATGGCTGAATCCCACTCCATGGTGTGGGTGCACCCCAGCTTGTTCATCCACTCGCTCACTGCTAGACCTCGGCCTGTTTCCGAGGGTCCCTCGAAGGGATTAGAGAGAGCCGTGCAGGTGCGCGCAGGGCGGGGCGGGGCTGTGCCCGGCTAACAGCCGGGAGGAGGGCTGGGGTTGGCTTCCGGCTGGGGAGCCTCCCTGGCCCAGCCTCCTCGGCAGCTGCTCACCGCGGATACAGGGGCTCCCGACAGCAGGACGCGGCTGCTGGAGTGACAGTCCTCCGCTCTGACTCGGGGGACCCGTAGCCGCAGCAGGCTTCCGTCTGTGGGCTTGACTTGCAGAGGGCCCCGGACAGACGGGTCAAGCTGTCTGCCTATGCTTCTCCTCAGGGAAGCCTGTTTATTTAACAACACTTAGAGAGCACTTACTGTGTGCCAGGCCCCGTTCCAAACACTTTATAAATATCAGCTTATCGAATCTGTGCAGCAGTTCTATGTGGTATGTGCTACTATCATTCCTGCCTTACAGATGAGGACGCTGAGGCTCAGAGAGGTGAAGTTACTTGCCCGAGGTCACACAGCGGTAAGTGGGAGATCTGGGACTCAAACCCAGACATCCTGGCTCTGGAGTCTGCTCTGACTGCTCTGCTGTGAGGTAGAAAGCCAACGTTCCCAAACATCTGCCACGCGAGCTTCACGTCTCTGACTGGAGCCGGATTCGTGATCTTCCTGTGCCATGATTTCCTTCATATCTTTCTCTAATCCAACTCACTATTTCAAACTTTATTTTTATTCTTTAATTATGGCAAAATATACATAACATAGAATTTATCATTTTCCCCGTTTTAAATGTACAGCTCAGTGGCACTAAGTACAACACGTGGCTGTGCAGCCATCGCCAGCACCCGGCGTCAGAACTCTCTCCATCTTGCAGAACCGAAACTCTGTCCCCATTGGACAACGACTCCCCTCCCCCAGCCTCTGGCACCCACCACTCTGCTTTCCGTCTGCGTGGATTCGACTACTCCAGGGACCTCGGTGGACTCACGCAGCGTTTGTCCTTTTTGTGTCTGGCTTA